TTACAAACTCAATTAAGATATTTGGGTTATCATGCAGTCAAACATCAAGATTCTATCACTTGTCAAGAAGGTCCACTAACAACAACGTGTTACTTAGAAATACTTGTTGAAGGCTGGGAGTGACCAGGACACAGGGGGTCCCCACACAGAGTTCCTGGAGCCTGAGGACCCCAGGGGGCTGCTTGGGGTGGGGGTGGGGGTGGGGTGGAGGCCAGTAGGTGAGAAGCCCGCAGTTTCCCGCTCATCATACCAGTCAGAGGTGGTCTCCTTTTGTCTGTTTTACAAATGGGGCTACACAAGTCTTTGATGACAAGAATGGGTTTGCCATCCATTTGTGTCAGGTCACCCCTGCTTGCACATGCCCAGGGTGGGAAAGGGCACACGCACCCTGTGCGCAGAAACCGCTCTCCCCCCGCCCCCCCATTCTAGGAGTCCTCACCTCTCTGTTCTTCTTGGCCCCTTCCTGAAATGCTGACTGCTCCTTTTCCACAAAGTCTCTGATCCCCAAGTTGGTTCTGGCCGCCCAAAGAGTGACTCAGGTCCCGTGTGCGGCCGAGGCCCAGTGACTGCAGGGGCCAGGGCACAGATCGGCCAGGGAGGGCGGGGGTACTTTCTCACAGTGCCAGCCAGCTTTGGGGCCACGTGAAAAACCTGGGGATCTCTGTAATCCCAGGCTGAATGCAAGCGCTTGCCTCCCTCGCTCAGAAAGCCCTAAGCAAACACACCCTCCTGCCCTGCTCCACACCCCTGTCAGCGGTTCATCCTCTTTGTAAGTGTACTCTTTAACATTTTTAAAAAATTTTATTATTTATTTTTGAGAGAGAGAGAGAGACAGAGTGCAAGCAGGGAGGGAGGGAGTGGCAGAGAGAGAGGGAGACAGAGAATCCGAATTAGGCTCCAGGCTCTGAGCTGTCAGCACAGAGCCCCATGTGGGGCTCGAACCCGCTGACCCCGAGATCATGACCTGAGTCGAAGTCGGATGCTTTAACAAATGGAGCCACAGGTAAGCGCCTGACTTCAGCTCAGTCATGGTCTCGCGCGGATCAACGCCCTCTTTGATAAGATTGGGATCAGTGGCTGGAGGAGAAAGGGTCACCGAGGATAATAGCGGAAGCTGGGGTGTGGGATGGCCACTAGCTTTAGCCTTTGCTGTCTGGTAGAGCCATCTTGTTGCACCTCCTGACTCCAGCCCATGTGGGCAGCAGACATCTCTCCCTCACAGAACCCATGAACTGTGAGATCATGACCTGAGCCGAAGTCGGATGCTTAACCAGCTGAGCCACTCAGGCACCTCCCCCCCCCAAATTAAAAACTTTTTGTAGGTGCATACCTTATTTTCTTAACATTTTAGGCTATTATTTAAATTCTAGTTAGTTAACATATAGGTAAATAAAATTTAGCGATTCATCACTTACAGGTAACACCCAGTGCACAAGTGCCCTCCTTAATGCCCAGCCCCCATCATGTGACAAAAGCAAGGACAGAAAGAGCAGAGACAGCTCTACAGAGCTCGTCAAGGACCCTATTGCTGTCCTGTTCGATCATCAGTGATGATTCTGTAGAAGTTGCTGTATGTTTTTTTTTTTTCCCTGCAGGTATTGTGTGGGGCAGAGTCACTGATGTAAAGCCTTGTGGTGTAGAGGTTAAGGTCACAGGCTTGGCAGTTAGAGAGACAGGATGGTTTCCCACTACCATCACTTCCTAGCTGTGTGAGCTCAGGCAAGTTGCATAACCTCTCTGAGCCTCCATGCCTGTAGTCCTAAACTGAGCATAGCAACACCTCTTTTGCAGGGTTGTTGTAAGGAATGGAACTGCTATAAGAAAAGCACCCAGTGTCCGCATATAATGGTGGCTTTAAATGACAGTCCCTTCTACCTGAAAAGCACTACGGCCTTTCCCTTGTCTTATTTTTTGTCTCAGGGGGGTGTGCGCGTTAGCGTTAGCTTCACAAGAAGTACCTCAATTGAGAAGTACCCACAGGCACCAAATAAGATTGATCGAATGTTATGTATTATCCTGCCCCAAATCCCTCCCACCCCCACTTGCTTTCTGTTTTAGGCTCTGGACACAAGTGGACACAACTCTAGGTACAACACACCACATCAGTTTCTTTTAACATGGGGGTGTCACAGTCACACACTACAAGGCACAATGGATGTGTCAGGAGCCACCTTGGGCTTTACCTCTGCAGATATAAACCCTCCTCTTAGCCAGGAAGGCTCTCATCAACCCTCTGGGGGCAGGAGGATGGAGCCGTGAGTGGGAGGTGTGGAGACCCAGGTGAGGCAGCCAGGGTCTGAGCTCCGGGCCCTCACTCAGGCTGCGATCCTGGTGGCCTTCCCGTCTCCTCTCGGGGCAGGACAGCGGAGTATCAGACCTCAGCTCCGCAAACGGGGTGGTGCCAGATCCCCTCTGCTCCTCTCACTGCAGCCCCAGACGCCTGGAGTAGCTCCGCCTTCCTACCCAGCTGTGCCCGTACCTGCGGTCAGGGCGGAGGCCAGTCGACCCTGGGACACCAGTGCCCTCACTGATGTGGGTTCCAGTCCTGGCCCCACCACGTGCTACTGCGTGACCCCGAGGAGACCTTTTAGGAAGATACAATGGTGCAATGTATACCAAGCACTCAGCACAGGGAGGGCACGAAGCTGGCAGTCAGTAAATACTCACTGAAGCGGGGAGCGAAGTGTCAGCTGCATTCCTTGTGGTCCTGGCTCTTGGGCGCTTACTTACTCCAGGGGGACGGACTACCCACTGGGCTTTCCTCTACGGACCTTCGATGGAGCCTGGGGGCCTCCTGTCTTCATGGCCACGGCTCTTCCACCCTCCCTCCACCCGAACCCTCCACGCGAACCCTGGCAGGTGGAGCTCAGCAGAGGCTGAGGTAGGTGGGACTCAGGGTGGGGTACAGATCAGAGGTAGAGAGGGGATGAGGGTAGACGTGGGGAGAGGAGAGAGCTCCTGGGCTATCTATTCTTCCATGCAATGCTGTCTCTGAGAACTAGATCCACTGGCCTCCCTCTTTGCACCCCATGGGCCCTGCCCTTTCTCTCTGCAGGGAGGGAGCCGTTCATTTCTGCCACGGCCAGCGTTCAGTTGGTCAGGGTCAGTTCGAGCCTGTGGGAATTACCCCGGCCCCGATCACCGCTGTGCCTCAGATTTGCAACAGCAGTCTCATCAGCTGAGAGGAGGAGGGCTGCAGATTTGTCTAATTTCTCATCCTAAGTGGCAATGGCGAGGTCTGGGAAGGATACGAATGAATGTCCACTGACCGACCTCCTATGTGCCAGGCACTGTAGGTACAGAAGAGGCAGGTGTCGAGTTTATACATGAGAAGATGGGTTGAATGTATTCAGCTAGTTAGTGGCAACAGGTGGGATTTGAACCCAGATTCATGTCACTCAGTGGGGAAGAGTTTGTTAGAGCTTAAAAACTAGGATTTTGCATATTTATTTATTTATGTTTATTTACTTTTGAGAGAGAGAGAGAGACAGAGTGTGAGCTAGGGAGGGGCAGAGAGAGAGGGAGACACAGAATCCAAAGCAGGCTCCAGGCTCTGGGCTGCCAGCAGAGAGCTTGACATGGGGCTCGAACTCATGAACAGTGAGATCATGACCCGAGCCGAAGTCGGACGCTTAATCAACTCAGCCACCCAGACGCTCCTAGAATTTTGCATTTAAGAACATCGCTCTGGGGGCGCCTGGGTGACTCAGCTGGTTAAGGGTCGGACTTGGGCTCAGATCATGATCTCACAGTTCGGTGTGCGTGAGCCCCGTGTCAGGCCCCGTGCTGACAGCTCAGAGCCTGGGGCCTATTTCAGATTCTGTATCTCTCTCTCTCTCTCTCTGACCCTCCCCTGCTCACGCTGTCTCTCTCTCTCTCTCTCTCTCTCTCTCTCAGAAATAAATAAAACATTAAAAAAGTAAATGAAAACATGGCTCTGGGAAGGGGCTCACGGGCTTCACTATTCTGCCAAAGGGATCCTCAGCACCAAAAGAGTTAGAATCTCCTGCCCTGAATGCTGGGGCCATTATGGTAAAACCGAACATGCCCTGGTAGGGCTGAACAGATGACTGACAGCAAACAGAGCAGCGGGGCACACGCAGTAGGGACGGGACCCGGGCTGGAGAACGCTGATCTAGAATCCCACAAACACCGACCCGAACAGAGGCCGGAGAAGGAAAGTTGAGTCTCGAGGGGCCGAGGCAGCTTCTGTCTCCTCAACCCCCAGCTCCCCACCTGGCACGTAGTAGGTTCTCAACAGCCGTGTCAAGTTGGGGTGAATCTTGATCTAGGTTTGGGGGGCTGTAAGGCTGGAACACGGTTTCTCCTTGTGTACGTGCACGTGGGCCCCAGGTGCATGTGGAGGAAGACTAACGAAGAGGATAAACACAGGTGCAGCTTCTGACAGCTTCCAGTTATAGTCTCGCTGCATCCTGAGAGGAGCTGAAGGTAAATATTTGTGTTATTTCCAACTTCTAGGTGAAGCATTGGAACCCCAGACAACGACTTGTTACAGGTTTGCCGAGCAGGGGAGGGCGGGCCCTGCACTTGAACCCAGGCCCTCGGTTTCCAAAATCTGTGGATGAGAGAATGGGCAATGGGCCAACTTGTGTGGAGCAGGGGGAGCCCCTGGGAGGCTACTGAGATGGAAGGGTAGTGGGGGGGAGGGGAGGGCTGGGCCCAGGCAGGGGCCTGTGATTCAGGAGGCCCTGGGGCACCGGTTCAGGTTCTCCCGGAGGGGAGTGTGTTGGGATCCTGTATCTGTGCCCTCCGAATGACATCTGTAGGTGTGTTTAGTGACATACTCAGCAGGTACGGGAAAGATGGCCCGGTGCCAAAGGCCAAGCCCAGAGATGTTTCAGATTTTTCCCTTTATGCCCCTGCAACCAAGCCCTGCTGCTTCAGCACATATAAGAGACCCAGGCTGGGGCTGCAGCATTCACTGGCCTGGCCCCTCGGGTTTCTCTGAGAACGGCAAGCTTGCTCTCCTCTCTGCAGCCATGATCTCCAGACAGCAGTGTGTCCGAGGCGGGTCCCAGGGCTTCAGCTGTGCCTCGGCCGTCGTCGGTGGGGGCAAGAGGCCTGCATTCAGCTCAGTCTCCATGTCTGGGGGCGCGGGCCGCTGCTCCTCTGGGGGCTTCGGCAGCAGGAGCCTCTACGGTCTTGGGGGGAGAAAGAGCATCGCCATCAGTGTGGCCGGATCCCGGCAGTGTGCTGGTTTTGGGGCTGCTGGAGGTTTTGGAGCTGGCTTTGGGGCTGCTGGAGGTTTTGGCTCTGGTAGCTTTGGTGCTGGATTTGGGGGCTCCTTCGGTGGACGGGGTGGCCCTGGCTTCCCTGTTTGCCCTGCTGGGGGGATTCAGGAGGTCACCATCAACCAGAGCCTGCTGACCCCACTTCATGTGGAGATTGACCCCGAGATCCAGAAGGTCCGGACTGAGGAGCGGGAGCAGATCAAGACCCTCAACAACAAGTTCGCCTCCTTCATCGACAAGGTAAGCTGCCCCTTTGGCCGGACAAGGTGGTAGAAACCAGGGATCCTTTGTCCTGGGCTCTCAGACCTGAGCCTATCACGGATATTGGGAATCACGGAACTTCTCTGGGCCTCTGTTTTCCAGCTGTTAAAGGGGACTCATTCCTCCAAGTCTTCCTCTTTTGTCCACGGGGGGCAGGAAGACAGGCTACTCATAGCAATGCAATATTTGGAGTCTTCCTAGACGTGTTGTGTGATGTTGGGCAAATTGCTCAACTTTTCTGAGTCCTGGCATCCCTGCTATATGGTTTCCCTGGGCGCATGGTTTCCCTGCTTTTTTCTCAGATTGTGGTTTCGGAAGTCACATGGCTAATAATCTAATAATTAACCAAAATTAATTATAGTTAATATAAGAATTTAACTATTGGGACTTTTGCTGTTGGAGCAGAAGAAAGCCCGGCTGGTTTCCCAAAAGAAAAAGGAACCAATGCCAATGGCAGACTGTGGGCCCCAGTAGGACCTCGGAAGTTCATCCCCTTCATCCTGACTCTGGGCAGACTTGCTCGTCTCTGGGTCTGTTTGAGAGAGCAGGGGTTGGGTCTCTCCTTTTCTTTTTGTAATCTAACTTCCTTTCCCATGCAGAGTCTAGAGATTCAAGTCCTTTGAGCTTAATTACAGCCAAGTGTGATAGATGATAGCAAGCGGATCAGCCCAGATTGCTGAGTCCTCCGAAGACTAATGACTGAGTGGATGAGGGTAGTACATTGAGCCAAGGGTGCCTTGATTCTCTGTACATTGAAATCTTAGTCCTCTTAGATCCACAGGGCAAGAGTGAACAATCTTGACCTTGACCTATTTGAAGACTGTAGGGCTTCAGAGAGACTGTAGGAGACAAGAGAGACATGACAATGTAATGTAACCCATTCTCTTATATTTTCTTTCACTGAATAGGGCATTATTGGTACAATTGGCAAAATATCCATGAAGTCTTTATATTGGATAATAGTACAGTATCAATGTTAAGTTTCTTGTTTTGACAATTTTATTGCAATTACATAGAGAGCCTCAATTTTAGAAAGTACTACTGAAGTACTTAAGAATAAAAGGGTGTTGTGTCTGCTAACAAAAAAAAAGAAAGAAAAAGAGAAAAAAGAATGAACAATCTTGGAGTAGGTTGAGTGGAAGTATTTGCTCTTCTTGCTAGTTGAATAAGCCAATAAGTCACTTTATGGTGACTCCAGGACACATAGATATAAAAGCAAGACCCAGGGTTTGGTGTTTCCTTCTCTCATCTCCCCTCATCTCCCCTTTTGAGTTCAGACTGTGATAAGTCACCCTTACCTGCTTTTCTTTCAGCTCTGAAGCACATAAAGTGGGAATCTTGTGCTAAACTGCTACCTTGGTTTCTCTGGTTAGACCCCTTCGTAGAGAGAGGGAAAGTTCAGGGAAGTCCCCTTGAAGAGTGAGTCTGGCTGAGACTCGGAATGTGTGTAGGGCCTACATGCTAACTATTTATCCTCAATGGTGCACAGCTTTAAAGAGACACATAAGGCCCATTTAGTAAAAAAAATCTTCAGTGAATTTATCATCCCTTTGCCTAGGGGCAGGATCGCTTTGAATGCAAGAGTCCCCAGACTGTGGTTTTATCTCCTAGTTTTGTTTATTTTATTATTGCATAGAAGTTCAATGTTCTTCTCAGCAAGTCAGCTCAGGGGGACCTCCGGATCCCTGTGGTCAGGAAGTGGTACTTGCTGCTCAGTCAGGCCCTGCTGCTCTGACTGTACTCTGTTCTCCACAACACATGTGTTCCGTCGTTGCACGGAGCAAAGCCACCATGTTGACCCCAGTGGGTGGTGCCTAGAGTTGTGACACAGTTGTCTACTTGTGTAGCTCTTGGGTCCTCTGGGTGGCCTTGGCCAATCCTCCTGCCAAAGCTTTGGGCCCTCATTGGCTGGCCGGTGCCTTTTTAACACAGGTGCGCTTCTTAGAACAACAGAATAAGGTCCTGGAGACCAAGTGGAGCCTCCTCCAGCAGCAGACGACCACTACATCCATCAAAAACCTTGAGCCCCTCTTCGAGGCCTACATCAGTGGCCTGAGGAAGCAGCTGGATACCTTGGTCAATGACAAAGGACGCCTGCAGTCTGAGCTGAAGTCCACGCAGGACAGTGTGGAGGACTTCAAGACCAAGTACGTGTGGAGCACAGAGGGGCGCCGCCTGCCAGTATCTGCCCAGCCACAGCCCAGGGTCCCTGGGCTCCTGTACAGCCATTTAGAATCTCAGGCTCTGGAGAGGTCCCAAAAGGATCAGGAAGGGTTTCTAGTTTGTGCCCCTGCATCTACACGCTCCCATTAAAAAAACTGGTGTGAGGCCTAGTTGCCCCAAATAGAAAATGAGTGATGCACTCAGGCGGTTGGGCTTGCTGCATACAGAAAAGATCTGAAACTGCATGGATGAACAGTAGTATGGCAAGGTCAGAAGAATACAGGTTGTAGAGACAGACAGACCTTGTTTGAATACTGATTCCTCCACTTACTAGCTGTGTGATCTTGGGTAACTTGCTTAACCTCTCTGAGCCTTGTTTCTCTTCATCTTTAAAATGGGACTAATAGGGGCACCTGGGTGGCTCAGTCGGTTAAACATCCGGCTTCGGCTCAGGTCATGATCTCACGGTTCATGGGTTCGAGCCCTACATCGGGCTCTGTGCTGACAGCTAGCTCAGAGCCTGGAGCCTATTTTGGATTCTGTGTCTCCCTCTCTCTCTGACCCTCCCCTGCTCACGCTGTATCTCTCTCTCTCTCAGAAATAAATAAAAACATTAAAAAAATTTAAAAAAATAAAATGGGACTAATAATCCTACCTTTTAGCTTTTGAGAATTAATGAAATTAAATGAGATCAAGAAAGCAGGCAGCATAGCAATGGATATAACATGAACATTTAATACATAGTACCTCTTATTATACTCTCGGTGGGGTGGAGCTGAGAAAATACTGATCCACTCTCTCAATTCGCTCTTATGCCAACCAAAGAGGGCTGGAGCATTGCAGCACCTGAGAATTTAATCCACCAAATGGATAGCCCTTCTGTGGAGCTAAAACCAACCAGATCATGTCTGGTTCTCCTCTTCACACCCTATCTCTTGAAAACAGTCTTTATGAAGTTTGATTTTCACTTCTCTGAATAAACCAGAGTCTAGGCTGGTCTCTCCTACATGGTAATTAATAAATGTAAGTTAAGGGGCGCCTGGGTGGCTCAGTCGGTTAAGCATCTGACTTTGGCTCAGGCCACGATTTCACAGTTCTTGACTTCAAGCCCTGCGTTGGGTTCTGTGCTGACAGCTCAGAGCCTGGAGACTGCTTTGGATTCTGTGTCTCCCTCTCTCTCTGCCCCTCTGCCACTCACTCTCTGTCTCTGTCTCTCTCAGAAATAAATAAACATTAAAAAATTTTAAAAAATGTAAGTTGAATGAGCATTTGCATGAAAACAGCAAAATGTAGCCAATTACTTGGATATTTCCAAGTAGTTAGATGTTTGAAACCCAGCAGCAGAGATCAGGGAAACAGTAGCTCACTATATGGCTTTTGTCTTTTCCTTCCCATCCCTCCCCCAGGTATGAAGATGAGATCAATAAGCGCACAGCTGCTGAGAATGACTTTGTGGTCCTCAAGAAGGTAAGAGATCAATGAGGGGAGGGAGGCACTGTGAGGAAGGGAGTGGTCTTTGGCTAGAATCATGGGTTTGGTTCATCTTGGCCTCATCTTTACCCCACTTGGTACTATCCAGATCTATGTGGTCCAAGGAATGGTTAACTGAACCAGACCCTAAGGAACTGAAGTTGGGGATAAAAGCCTGTTTGGATAAGTAGCTTCCATTTCTGGCTGCTTTAGGGGCAGAGAATGTCAAGTGATTAGTTCTTTGTCACCTTGCCTGTACTGAGAAGCCTTCTCTACATGCTGCTGAGAACACCTTTGTGTGTCACTTGACATTCCCTTGCTCCTCTTGTGATTTCTGTACCTTTGTCTCTTAACCCCCCTCCCCCGTGCCTCCTCTGCAGGACGTGGATGCGGCCTACATGACCAAGGTGGAGTTGGAGGCCAAGGTGGATGCTCTGAATGATGAGATCAGCTTCTTGAGGGTCCTCTTTGCTGCGGTGAGGACTCCATCCCTGTCCATTCAAAGAAGGAAATCCTAGTTCTTTGAAAGGACTCCAGCTCCCTTACTTGTTGAGGGTGCTCTCAGCAAGGTCATGGGTAGCAAGAATTGAAGTGAGAGACTCAACCTGGAGGCTTTGGAAACCAGATGTGGTCTTAGGAAGAGTGATCAGATCTAAAGATTGCATAGGTTACAATTTCTTGCTGTTTAGCATTTCCCTGGCAAAATGAATCCATTCATTGATCACCTGTTTACAGTTCCCAGAGAGCAGTGAAGACTAGAAATATTACTTTTCTTGTCTTGAAATGTCACCAGTCACTTGATTTCTACATAAAAACTTACCACCCTTACCCCTCTCTGCCCATTGGGATGCTAACTCTGTTTCCATCTGAGACTGTGGCATGGCCATTTCCATCACCACAGTGGACTTCTGGTGTCAGAGATTAGGGAAGAATCACTGGGGGACCTGACATGAGACATTTTCCATGTAGGAGCTCTCCCAGATGCAGACGCATGTCTCAGACACGTCCGTGGTCCTGTCCATGGACAACAACCGGAACCTGGATCTGGACAGCATCATTGCTGAGGTCCGTGCCCAGTATGAAGAGATCGCCCAAAAGAGCAAGGCTGAGGTCGAGGCTCTGTACCAGACCAAGGTGGGTATCAGGGATCTCTCAGGAGATGGAAGTGGCTTCTGGGGCTCTGCTTTTGATGTCTGTGAGCAGGTGATCATCACCCAAGCCCAAGAGATGTCAGAGATGAACTCATGTTCTGGGCATCACTGATCCTGGTCTAATTGGAGATTACATGATATTTTGTATTATCCCTGCCACCTGTTCTTGCTGAGTTCACTTGAGAATAGACCCTACCCAACCAGCCCTGACCCTTCGTTCCTTGTGTTTTCCTGGATATTAGGTCCAGCAGCTCCAGATCTCAGTTGACCAACATGGTGACAGCCTGAAGAACACCAAGAGTGAGATCTCAGAGCTCAACAGGATGATCCAGAGGCTGCGGGCTGAGATTGAGAATGTCAAGAAGCAGGTAAGTGTCACCACCTTCTAGCCATGGGACAGAGCCAAGACCAATGTCTCTATAGAAGACAAATAAATCTGGCATCAGGCCAGAGGTCCTGAGCTTGTGTGCAGGGGATTCGTGAGTCCTTATATAAACCATACCCAGGTCTTTTTAGCAATGATCTACTTAACCTGACACCACACCCTGGTAAATACGGTTTTTTGGCTCTTCTTCATTGTTTTTTGCTCATCTTCATCGAGTCAGTCTGGTGGGGATATTGGTGGGCCCTGGTTGGAGTAAATGAAATGTATGAGTAGGGTAGGTGGGGATAAGGACAAAATCCTGACACCTTAGCCCAAGTGAAGGTGACACGGGAGAGGGAGCAGGTAGAGAAGCCTTGACAGTAGGGCACTGATGATTGCCTGGTCAATGCTATCGTCTACAGTGCCAGACTCTGCAGGCATCCGTGGCTGATGCAGAACAGCGTGGGGAGTTGGCCCTCAAAGATGCCTACAGCAAGCGCACAGAGCTGGAGGCCGCCCTGCAGAAGGCCAAGGAGGAGCTGGCCCGGATGCTACGGGAGTACCAGGAGCTCATGAGTGTAAAGCTGGCTCTGGACGTGGAGATTGCCACCTACCGCAAGCTGCTGGAGGGCGAGGAGTGCAGGTGGGGTGGGCAGGGCAGGGCGGAAAGGTGAGGGAGGGAGAGATCCTGGAGCCTTGAGTCTGCACCTCTGTTGGGTCACCTGCTTCTGTGCTGCATGGGTGTGTTATGAACTGGGGCAGAGTGGATAACAGGTTCACATTCAGACCTTTAACTTGGCTGCATACGGATGGGTTTGGTGCTTGAGACCTGCTTATTGAACTGAGTGTGACTCTGGGCTCTGCTGTGACTCACTGCTCTTTCTCTTCCCCACAGAATGTCTGGAGAATGCCAGAGTGCCATGAGCATCTGTAAGTACCTTCCACTCCCACCATGACCTTTTGCTCACCCCGATTTGGGTAAGAACCCTGGTGCCAGTGTCATTGGAATAACCATATCCTTTGTCTCTCTCCTGCAGCTGTGGTTGGTGGTGGCACTAGTGCTGGGGCCATCAGTGGAGGATTAGGAAGCTGCTCTGGGTTTGGCCTGGGCAGTGGCTTTGGCTCTGGCTCTGGAAGTGGCTTTGGGTTTGGTGGTGCTGTGTGTGGCAGTTCTGGAAGCAAGATCGTCTCTACCAGCACTGTGACCAAGAGATCCCTCCGATAGACGAGAAAGGTCCCTGCAGCTCCTGAGCCCAGCTGGGCCCCGCCCTGGTGTCTCTGTGCTTCCTTCACCCTGCCTCCACCCTCCCTCTCTGGGGCTTATTTTACCAGTGTCACCTCAGCATGGACTCTGCCCTTCTAGTTTGGTAGCTTCCTCTCAATTTGGGCCTGGTGACCCATCTGGAATGAGAGGGATGTCAGCTGATTCTTCACCACCCATGGGCAGAGGAGAACACAGCCAGGAGCTTCATCTCCAGAGTTATCAGGGTCACGTATGCCCCTCCCAGCCTATGGTCTCGGATATCTCTCTACATCAGGACCAAACTCCTCTGTTACTCGGCAGCAACTTGGCCTGCAAGATCAGGACAGGAACCACTCAGGGTCCCGTCCACCTCTTCTCCTTCCCTCTATCCATCTTTGGGTGAATCTCTAATAAAATGCATTTGTCATTCACTCTGAGCCATTGTCCTTGTTCCCTGGGGAGAAGTCTCCAGCATTCAGGTGGGAGCCAAAGAGGTTGGGGCCTGAGAGATGTGTCTGCACAGATCGAGGTCATCAGCTAATCTGGGGGAGGTGTGTGGTGTGTGGAGTCCGAAGGCTGCTTCAGAACAGGGGCACAGACTCCCAACAACCAACAAGTACACAAAGCTGGCAGACAATCAGAGCGGGTGCATCTCAGTGCGGAGCCTGCAGTGAGCCTGGAGGACAGGAGAGGCAGTCAGGGGGTCTCCAATGAATAAGGAATGAGAGGTTGGGGAGCTTATGGAGAGTTTATACTCAGTGTCTAGCAAGGCCTCCCTACTTTCAAGAAACTTCATGCAGAGGACTCAATCCCACTGGACCAGCAAGGCTTCAGGAACTCCTTCCAAGTACCAACAAGATCCCGATTGTGGGATAGAGGGATGGAAGCATGTCGTCCTCAAAGAGCTTTCATGCCCTGCTCATTTTCCCATCTCAGGTGATTATGTCTGGGGTTATGTCTATACTGCCTGTGCCTGAGTGGTAGGGGTGTGGGGGAGGAGACGCAAGTCTGCAAGAGCAGTAGAAGGTGAGCCTGCTTGATTGGGCCAGCCCTGGAGATTATGACTGATGAAATGAAGATGAGGTGAGGACAGTCAGAGGTGGGGGTCTGAGTATAGCCTTTGTAGATACCCTGATTCTATACTGGACCAACTTCCAGCTACATGGAGGACCATAACTCTCCCGCACAGTTGCAGGACGCACTCATTCCTCTGGCCACGCAAATGGTGCTTCCCACCCTGGACTGCCAGGCAATTCATTCAGACTTCAAACCCCCAGCATAGTGCCCGTGGGACCCTTATTGTGTGTGGACAGAAAGGCACAGGGTTTGCCCAGAGCCTGTCCCTGCCCAGGTAGCCTTCACACAGACCCGGAGGTGGGCCCAGGGCCACAGGGGCAGAGCAACAAAGCATTAATCTCAGGGGCTTGTGCGCCCTGGGCTGGATGGCTGGTCCTTCATCAGCCCCACCCTAATCTCCTCATTGTCTTGGGGCTCACCCCCATGTGTCAGACCAGGAAGTGTTTGGCTTGTTCCCACCTCTGTGCCCCTCCCCTGGGAAAGTGCTGAAGTGGCTCTTTTCTAAGTTCCTGGAGCTGGGAGGAGGAGTCAAAGGTTAGCAGGAAGGGAGGGACTACTCCAGTTTACCTACCAGGAAGATGGGGGCTGTGATGGGCCACCCTGAGGAGCTGGGGGCAGGTCAACGAAATTCTCATGCCCGCTGAGCAAGTCAAGTATGTGACTAGCCAGCTTGAGTGACACCTCTAGGCCTCCAGGGCCTCTTCGGTTCAATATAATGGTTTACACAGGAAACTCAGGTCAAGTGCCTGTGTATCTTTGAATAACTGTGTTTCTGTAGGCAAGGGGCTGTGTGAGTATGTTTGTGTTTCATTTCTATAAAGAAGACTCCTGGTTCACCTAAAAGAGGTAAAACATTCCTGTTGGTCTTTGTTACCGGAACAGTCCAGGGGAGTGGATCCTGGCCATGATCCATAAGCCTGGAGCTGATTGACTATTCAAAGGTGGTTATTATTGGAGAGAGAAAGTCCACTTCTTAGATGATAGGCATCACTCATCCCTTAGATCTTTGAACTGGACCTTGCCAGCTCTCTTTCAAGAGAGCTATGGAGACACAGACTGCATTACTTGCGCCTTGGAAGGTCCTGCACTCTCCACACCCTCCCCTCAGCCCCAAATGCTTGAACCTGAGGAGTACTAAAACCACTTCTCACATTGTAATGGCTCAAATGTGGACTGGCAGATCTTTAACTCATTTTATTTGGTTCATCTGCCTTGACTCCCACTCTTAAGGCTCCAGGCTCACAAGCCTTATTTGCATAGGTCCCTCCCCCTTTACCAAGACCCTCTGCTCTGAGTCCAGCCCTCCCCGTTTCAGAAAATTCTTGGCAACACTTCTGAAGTCTCTCTGCCTTGTTGCTCGTAAAACTGAAGGATATAGTAAAGAGGGGTTTATTTAGTGTTGCCCCATTGTGGCATTTTGGTTTTGCCTGCTATGGGGACCCAGGCTTCGGATTCTAGGACCAGAGGACCTCAGAATAAGGCAAGTCTGCTACCATGTCTTGAGTGATGGCCAAGGTTTAATGAGACAGCGATCTAGCAAAATAACTAAGGGAGCTGTGTCCTCCTTTGTTACCCCTTGGGGCAAGGGAATAGTGGTCCAGGCCAGGACAAAGGGAAGGAACAAGCTGAGGGAAGAAGCCATTTTATCACCTGCTCCACCTTTTTGCTGTGTTGAAGGTAGAGACTGAACAGTCATCTTTTTATCCCATGGGGAGAAGGCTGGGAGTGTAGGATCATGGTCATGAAGGGTCTTGGTGGGAGCTCCAGGACTCAGGCTTATTGCTACCCATGGTTTCCTGCTTCTGTAGGCTGTCCACTTGAAATGTTGTGGATTTAGTTCTCAAAAATTCAAAGAGAAGCTAGATGAACGAGGAAGAGATTTTTGGCAGAAAGAGTTTGGATTGCCATTTGCCATTCATCATCCATCATCCATCATCCATCCATCTACTGTCTATCCATCTATCCACCCATCCATCCACACATTTATTAGCTGTTGAATTCTCTAAGGCAGGGACCATTCTTTATTCATTTTGCTATTTCAAGGCCAGTGTGCATGTCACATAGTAGATGTTTAACAAATGTTGGTTTAATAAATGAACAAATGTCCTAGGCAATGTTCTAATAAGAATTAAATGATTCTTTCAAGGAGTTTTCAATCAGGGTAATAATGTCTAGATAAAAACATGCACATATATAACCTGGAAGGGAAGAAGAGGGAACTCTGGGCCACCTGCTTTCGGCGTGTGGCTTTTAGGACCAGGATGTGCTTTGGACTCACATCTGGGAACTGCCACACGCGCACCTCTCTCCCCTTCAGGCAGCTGTAATGCTAAACCTTGGCCCTGCTCTGCCTCTTTTCTCACTTTTGTTTATTGTGAGCTAATGTTCCAGGACCCAAGAGGTTTGTTGTTGCTCTCTTATCTCCCAGTAGAAGGGTCTTCCCCCTAGTGACATCCATTCCTTCGATATCTGCTGTGTGCTTTCCTTATGCTGAGGGCTGTCTCCGTGGACTACTTACATAGTATCCTGTGGTTCCCTTATTTCACACCATGATCATACCCTCTGCCTGGTGTCCAACTGGATTCCTTCAAAGCTGCAGCAGAGAGGAGAGCCCTGCTTTTCAAATCAGTGCCTGGAAAAATAAATTTAAATTTCCTGTCCACTTTCTCTTTCCTAGGTTAAATGATCAGCTCACCTTTCCCCCCTCCTCCCTTTTTAGTTTCTGTTTCAAGCAATTTATTTCATAACTTCCTAAGTTGTTTTTGTAATCTCCCAGGGAGGACAAGATGGTATTTCTGCTATTGACAATCTCCAGTTTGAGGAGCCTACCAAACTCGATTCAGCACAAATATGGTGGAGAGCTCCTGTCACACAGAAGAATCTTACTTAGATAAAGGATTATTGAGGGCGAGCCCCCCTCTCGGTTTTATTGTTCTATTTATCTTCTCTGTAAGTCTGCTTTGCGACCATTGTTCCTTCAGCTTATTCTCACAGTAGGATGTGGAAGTGAGTTGTTTAAAATCAGGAGTCAAATTTCTTTTTTTTTTTAATATATATTTTGTAATGTTTTATTTATTTCTAGGAGAGAGAGAGAGAGAGAGAGCGTGAGCAGGGGAGGGTCAGAGAGAGAGGGAGTCACAGACTGAAACAGGGTCCAGGCTCTGAGCTGGCAGTCAGCACAGAGCCCGACGTGGGGCTCGAACCCACGAACTGCGAGATCATGACCTAAGCGAAAGTCGGACGCTTAACCGGCTAAGCCACCCAGGCGCCCCATGGAGTCAAGTTTCTGTCTTGGAAGGTAAAGAAGGTGAAGTGGGTCTGAACACATTCTGCCTTGACCCCCATAACCTACTCTCTACACAGCTGCCAAACTCATCATTTTACAAGTCAGCTCACGTCAAGCGCCTGGGTGGCTCAGTCAGTTAGGCGTTCGACTTCAGCTCAGGTCATGATCTCGTGGTCAGTGGGTTTGAGCCCCGCGTCGGATTCTGTGCTGTCAGCTCAGAGCTCGGATCCTGCTTCGGATTCTGTGTCTCCCTCTCTCTCTGCCCCTCTCCTGCTTATGCAGTCTCTCTCTCAAAAATAAATAAACATTAAAAAATTAAAAATAAAGTCAGCTCACGTCTCACCTTTGCTGAAACCCTTCAGTGACTTCTCTTCTCACCTCTTCCCTCATCCTGCTGCAGCTCTGCCGGCCTCATGCTGTTCCTCAAACGCTCCTCATTCTCCTGTCTCAGGCCCTTTGCACTTGTGGTTCTCTCTGCCCAGGACACCCTTTACTCACATGTTTGCATGCCTTGTTCCTTCACTGTGTTCAGATCATCCACTCAAGTCTCCTCAGAGCACCCTCTATAAGACAGCACCCCTTGCCATGTCTACCCCCCTTTCCCGCTTATTTATTAGGT